CTTTGGTAGTTGTTTTCGCTTGTTCCATTTGAAATAGAATGAAAAGTCTCAAAATTGCTATAGCGTTTGATTATTTGGTGGAGAGAGTATTGGTTCAGAGCTGTGTCTATTGAACATTCGCTCTTTTGAGTAAAAACCAAGTCCTTGCATATTTATCTGTTACAGATGAAAGTTCTGGTGCAGTACAAAAGGAAACTACTTCGTCAACCCTCTCAGAAAGTGTCGCGATCAAAAGAAAAAACAGAAATGGGGAAGAGCCTACTGAAGACGACTGCATTAGCTCTGAAGTGTATGGCAATGAACATGAAAGGAGAAGAGTAAAACAGTCTACTGAGAAAAACTTGAAAGCTATCTCAAATGAACAGAAGTCATTGAAGAAAACAGGTTTGCCATGTTTTAACCAAAAGCGAAATACTGTTTTAAATATCGACATCTACAGTTATAACATTGTGTTTGCTTAATCTTCCTAGGTAAGGCTCTGTTAAAAGAGGAAGCATCATTGACCATCTCTAGTGAAGTTCTTAAAACCGATGAAATCATCTCATCCTCGAATCAAAGTGAACCATGGACTGTACTTGCCCATAAGAAGCCTCAGAAAGACTGGAAACCTTACAACCCAAAGACAATGAGACCTCCCCCTCTACCAGAAGGTACCAAGTGTGTGAAAGTTATGACTTGGAATGTTAATGGACTAAGAGCATTGTTGAAGTTAGAGAGCTTCTCTGCTCTGCAGCTTGCCCAAAGAGAAAATTTCGATGTGTTGTGCTTGCAGGAGACTAAACTCCAGGTCATTACACAACAGTAGCTGGTGTTGAGTAGTTTCTGCTCTATATTTTCAAGAAAGCCAGCTCTTTAAATTCCTGTACTTAATACATCTGTTACACTTATGGCAGGTGAAGGACGTTGAGGAAATTAAGAAAGCTCTTATTGATGGCTATGATCATAGTTTCTGGTCCTGCAGTGTCTCCAAACTTGGTTACTCTGGAACTGCGATTATTTCACGGGTAACACAACAGTGTGCTTATTTGTTATTTCTTTATCCATTTGATCTTATATGTTGAATTGAAATGCAAGTGTTCTAATGAAGTTGGTTTTTTGACAGATAAAACCGCTCTCGGTTAGATATGGTACTGGTCTATCTGAATCAGATCATGACATGGAAGGACGAATTGTGACTGCTGAATTCGACACATTCTACTTGATAAGCACCTATGTCCCTAATTCCGGAGATGGCTTAAAAAGACTGGTACTCCTCAAATTTACGGCATTTAGTTTCTACAGTTGACATATTCTACTTTCCTTTAATTTAACAAATGTCTGGGTTTTCAAGTCATACAGGATCGAAGAATGGGATCGAACCCTCAGCAATTACATCAAAGTATGAAATCTTCGGAGTTTCTTTATGTACTGTATCTGTTCTTGTTACGCAGACCTCAATGGCTCTTTTGCATCTGCAGGAGCTGGAGAAGTCTAAACCTGTAGTCTTGACTGGTGATCTAAATTGTGCTCATGAAGAAATCGACATCTACAATCCTGCGGTAACTAACTCAGATTCTTCTTTTAAGTCATTCAATTAGTTGAAAGCAATAATCACCTCTCGGTTTTCGTGCTTAATCCACCAAATCTTTTAAATAGGGGAACAAAAGAAGTGCTGGTTTTACAATAGAAGAAAGACAATCCTTTGGAGCAAACTTCTTAGACAAGGGCTTTGTAGATACCTTTAGAAAACAACATCCTGGTGTTGTAGGTTACACTTATTGGGGTTATCGACATGGTGGCCGCAAATACAACAGAGGTAATTAAGTCTGCATAAAAAAACTGTTGATAGTTGTTTGATACATACTCAGATTCATTTTTGGATCGTTAAACTGATGAATTGGTGTGTGAAACAGGATGGAGACTGGACTACTTCTTGGTATCTGAAACTATCGCAGCCAATGTCCATGATTCTTACATTCTCCCTGATATCAACGGCAGTGATCATTGCCCGATTGGCCTTATTCTCAAGCTCTGATATATATTCAAAGCTTCACCTTTCCCAGGTATTTTCGGTGTTTTAGTTCTAAATGGCTTTCAGCGAGAGATTCGCAAGTTTTGCTTCTACAGAGAGCCGTGCTTATGTGAAATTCGGAATTACTAATCTATCAGTAAACATACCCCAATCAGAATAGTTAGTTCCAGAGTCGTGGACAATCTATATGCTTATGATTTACTTTCATTGCGCTTCTTGTTTACTAATTCATTGCAAATAAGTGCCAATATATATAGAAACTAAACCCATAAATTGAGTATTAAGAAACAATGCTATATGAAGAAATCTCCTTTTTTTAAAAACAAAAGAAACTGAAACCTAAAAAGTACACTTAGTAAGCTTTAGTAGGAACAAGAGTTGCAATATACTCCTTCATTTTGACATTATAACAGAAACTGATGGGCAAACTAGCTTCAACCTTGCGCACTTTACCCTCCTCCAAGTTGTATTCACATAGTTTTAAATCTCCTTTACTTGTCATCACTTTTACAAGCAATGATCCCGCCTGGTTTAACACAGTTACTACCCGAAACTCACTGACCTTCCAACGCGTTGCCCTTTCAATATCGGATGCCTTGAGCCTCAAGATCTGGCTCCAAGATTTGATTCTACCTTTATCTTCTTTTTCATGGTTCGCGCACCAAACCACCATATCAACACAGTACTCTCCTCTCTCCGCTACAGATAGACTTCCTCTCAGCACATATAAATCTCTATACTCTGTTCCATGATCCGGATCAGGACTAGAGCAGTAGTTGTATCTCTCTGACCCCAACACTAAACGTCAGGATGTCTCCGCTTACTTCTAAGTCATGGATCGAGCTGCCAGTAGATATTTTCACCCACCAGGATCCCCAATTTCTTAGAATGGACCCAGCCCCTATCTTTCTCCAATGGGAAATCAATCATCCTCGACACATTGGACTTAAGTGTCAACACTTGTGCTTTAGAGCAATTTCTCATAAAAGGCGGAATCAAGACGATCTTGTGATCTTGAATTGAGTGGTCATAACCAAAACCAATCAGACTGGTGTTTTGGTTGTTGATACTTTTCTTAATTCTCTCAAGATCGGGTTCCAAATAACGAAAGATCTGTCTACAAATTCTAGGCAAAAGAGTCCATCCCGATGACCATTGACAACAGTATCTTGAAAGCCATTAAACATATATGATCCAGATACAGACCCTATCAAGGGTTTGGTATTATTATGTCACAGGATAGATCATCTTAAGATTCCAAAAGTCTCAAATCCTCCTTATCTCGGTTCTGTCTTGTGAAAGGTCGTAGTGCTGGTGGAAACTGTTCAAAGACCCTAAACTCTTGAGTGGTTTAAGAGTTGAAAGTGTGACACAAGGAACTTTATTTGCGACTCTAGCGCAAGGTTTCAAAATCGG